GTCAGGACACGTTTCCAACAGCGTGGTCTCTCTCGAGACCGACTTTGCACCTGCCCAGAGGCGAACGGCAGCACGAGCTCTGTGGAAGCGCAGGACCCGCTTTCGAGATATGCGCCGTCGGCACCGCGCCCAGCAGCGCTACCGCCGAGCTCTCCCTCGCCAGAAAGGACGGATCGGGAAAATATGCGTTGCTGGAGTTTTGCCAGCCACCAGTTTTGGATCTGGGGTCGTGGGGATGAGCGATAATGAACTCCTCCACGCCCGTCGCGCCCTCCTGTCGTACAAACCCCCTCGTCACCAAGGGTGCTCGCTACGTGCGAAGCTCGCCATCCGTGGTGATCCTATGTGGCGGGCGGCGGTGGCCCCTGTTCTTCACTGGGCGGGGGTTGTTTGGACGGCCCTGACGACCCCCCAAGTTTCTCTGTGCACGGTCAAGGACCTGTGTGCGATCTGGCGTGCTATCCCGTTTGATGCCAGCGTCACCTAGCGATCTTCCAGGGGCCCGATCCAGCGAATGCACCTCAGCCTGCGCAGGCTTGGGTGGGGTCCGACGTCCGCGCTTACTTTTCGTGATGATAGGGGGAAAGAAATACACATGGGTTTCGCCCCCCCTCCATGCTGTCCCACTCATTCGACCTGGCTACCCAGAGGGCCCGTGAGCGGGCCTTGGCTGAAAACACTCGTGGGTTCGATGGGGTCCGTGCGTGCGTTGATCCCCTCAAATGGTTGGACCTCAGGGCAAAGGTCCCGGTCCCAGGGGGAAATATCTGGCGCTCACATGTTTTTGTAGAGGCGTGTGGACGCGCTCTAGGGCGCGCTCTTGCGGATACCAGTCAGACGGATTATGTCAACTTTGCGGGCAAACCGGCGGAGTTCGCCATCGGCTGCGGCAATGCATGCACGCCGCTGCGGCCGAGGCGAGAGCTGAGGCCATGGGCGGCATGCCAGTCGAGTGGCGCGCCGAGGCTCTTGACAGCGAGGATCGTTTGTTTTTTGATGAAATGAAATGGGACCACCCTGAAGCTTTTTACCCTGCCCCCTCCACCGAGCCCAATCCACAACTGTATGATGCCGTTGGGCACGCCGCGCCTTGGGGCTCGGTCGATTTGCGGGGGCTCGACGCGCGTGTGTGGATGGCTCGGCCATGAGACATTGCATTCGTGAACTTCCTCGGGCCGCTTACTCTTGGATCTTCCTGGCGACGGGGGCCGAGGAAATCATTGCCGCTGCTCGAGGCGCGGTTTTTGACACCTCTCCCCAAACTTCTCAGGCCGCCGAACAGCAGGCCATGGCCTTGCCCCCTATGTTTCAGCAGCTCGGAGGGAGCAGGTACGGGGACAGCGTGACCGTCGTCAAGTTGTGCCGTGCCGCCCCTGTTCACCAAGCTTCAAGAAAGCATCGCTACGCTGGCCTCCGTCGAGGATCACTTCTTCATGAAGTGGATGGGCGCGCTTCGGATGTGCATCGCGCACCTGCACACAGGCAGCGCGACGCGATAGATGCTCTACCCGAGGGCGATCGCCGCATCGGTTTGGGAAGCCGGCATGCAGATGCCCAAGCCAAGCTAGCTCTCCTCTCCCACCCCCAACCCTCCTCAAACGAACTCCAAGAGGTGGACAGGAAGTGTAGATGTATTAGGTTTATTGCACGTGTTTGTGGGGAGGTTCTAGCTGTCTTCCCCCAGGAGAAATTCGATCGTTCGAGCGTGGGGCCCAGGGCTAAGTTTTTACATTCGGGGGGGTGGCATGCGTGGCAGGACCTTGAGCAAGGAAGGTCCCGTTACTTACATTGCCTTGCCCTCTGGGCGGACCCATCTTCCAGACCCATGCTCGAATGTAAAGGTATGAGTAGCACGTGGCGTAAAACGTTGGCCACGTCATCCGGACACTCTCGCTCACTGCCGCGTGCACAAGGGCGAGGTTGAGAAGACGCTCTTCTTTTGCACTGTGTGCGGAGCGTGCACCTCCAGCCGCTGCCACAGGCTCGGACAGGAGCGTGGTCAACGTTGGCTGCGAGGAGCACCGACCTCGCTCCGACGCATTTACGAAGGACTCCACCCGCACTACCGCGACCCGTCGCAGCTCTCGACCAGCACCCGTCGAGGCAGTGCGTGCTTGTGTTTTGCCGCCAGCCAACCGCCACCGCCAGAGGTCGGAGATTCTGGACTCAGTGCTGCTGGCCTCATCTCGACACCAGGCACGCTCGCGCTGCAGGCGAGGATACGTGCCAAGGAGATGGCAGCGGGCGGAGTGGTGCCAGGCGTGCCCTCTGTGCCTGGTGAGCGCCCGTCGCCACCGAGGCAGACGCCCACCGACGCACAGGTTCGAGAGGGCGGAGCTTTCGGCGAGTTTCAAGCTGACGAGGAGGCATCGCGCTTCCTCTATGATGAATTGGATGGGGGGGGGCTTGGGGCCGAGTGGGACGGGTGGGGACGGAGGGTCTCTCTTGCGCGCGACGGTTGCGCGCTTCGCCCGTGCCGCGGGCGAGGCGCCCCTCGCGCCACCGCCTGTTGCCGAGTCCCCCGACTCTGATTGATTCAGGGCAGCTCTTGTGAGCTTTCACTCTTTTGTAGAAGTCTCGCATGGCTGCCCGCCGTTTTTTGCTTGTGGTTGTGGTCGGCCGTGCTCATTGTTTCATGACAGCCACTGCCGTCTTTGACCCGCTGCTTGGCAGTGGCATCGGTCGCGGTGGCTGCTTTTCAATGGGTTTCGCCTGCCACTCTCCACCATCGCTTATTTGCTCAAGGTTTCAGAGTTCATGCCTCCAGGGACCGATGACAAAAAAAAAAAAAAAAAAACTCCTCCTCCTCCTCCTCCTCCTCCTCCTCCTCCTCCTCCTCCTCCCAACCAACCGTCGAAACCTGGCACGTCTGTTCGGGCACTCCAGCAGCGGTGCCAGCTGTCGTCAGTGAGCACGGGGCCACGTCAGCGGCTGGGTGCCGCCCACGGCTGCAGCGGCCTGAGAGCGACACGAGTCGTGCACAGCGCACGACCAAGATCCTTTGGTCAACGGCGCTGTGTAAGACAACGCAGCTGAGTCCAAGGCTGTTGCTGGAGTTTTGAGGGACATTCAGCTCCAGGGCTGTTATCGCGATGGGTGGGCCTGTTGCTTCCCCCAATCCCCCCGCCAAATTCACCACCCGCCCCCATACGCACACCATGCCACGCAACTCTGGCGCTCATACAAACTCGGCAAGCTGCACCAGCTCTACAATGTGAACTTCACCACGTTTGTGGTCTGGGTGCAGCCCACTGTGGACGCGGCTACGATCCGAGGCGCGGCGGGATGAGTGCGGTCCATCCTTACAGTTTTTGGCCCACAAGCCAATGCGCACCCCTCACTGACGGCCCCACAATCCATGCATATGGAGAGTGTGGCTCCTTCAGGGGTGCCAATGCGGCAAATTCGGTGCCTTTTCGGGTCTGCTACCACGGTTCTCAACGCGGCATCTCCCCCTTTGGACAGTCTCTGGCCGGCGCCAGGGTCGGAGTGGACCATGACAAGGCAAGTCATGCATCCCACCTTCCTCGGATCCACCCGAAGGTGTGGCCGCGATGCGTGACAGCATTGGGGGACGGGGGGAGGGGCAGGGAGGGCAGAGGAGGACGAGCGCGGGGAAGCGTTCGGGAGGATTCGCCCCATGTGGCACTCCGGGCAGAGTGCCTCAGGACCTGCCGCCGTACCACCTGTATGATGAATTTGTGGAGGGGGGCCTCCGCGTCCTCCAGGAGGAGACACGGGAGGAGGATGCGGACTTGGACTCGGAAGAGCAGGACGAGGAGGAATGAGGAGGGGCGGTGGAGGGTGGGACAAAGGAGAAGGGTAAGGATGAGGAAGAGCAGGGTGGCGGGGGATGGTGGTAATGGAAGAGTCGGATGGGGTAGGAGGGTGATGAGGGGAGAAGGATGACGAGGAGGGGAGGAGGACGACGACTGAAGTAGGGTGCGAGCAAAAGCAACTAGTCGCAGAAGCAGCAGCAGTGGTTGGCGCTTGCCCCTGTTACTTTGCCTGCCGTTCTTAGTGCTGCAAGGGGCCGACGTGATGCTGAGGCACTTCGCGAACGCTTGCGAGCGTTGATGAACACTGAGGAACCACTGAGGATCGAATGAAACAGATAACATAAAAAACAAAGCAACACACAATAACACATCATAACCATAACCAAATGATAAATAAGAAACGAATAACAAACATCATTAAAAAACGAGCAAACATAACAATAACAACATCCAGAAAATAACAAGGGGGCTCGTGCCAAGTGGGAGGCTCGCGGCCACCCGCCAGCACAGGCCTCCACCACCCCACGTGCGACGCAGCGCGCGCCGCAGGCGTCCTGCGGGCCCTGGACCGACGCGCCTAGACGTCCTGCGACGCCGCAGCCAGCGCAGACCGACGGGGCCCGGGGCGAGGGTGGGTCCGACCTCCGGGGGCGCTCTGGAACGCCTTCTGGCGTCCAGGGTGGGTCTGACCTCCAGGCCTGCAAAGCAGGCAAGCTGTGGTTTACCCGCCCATTTCGACGAACCGTCAATGTGTGCGAGGACCGTCCTTCGGAGCCTGCATCCAACCGCGCAGGTGTACTCAGATTTGCCCTTCTGTCGAAGAAGAGTGAAACGCCATGAACAGAAACTTGTGGCGCTCCGCGCGGAAGTCTTAGATCCGCGCTGGGGCCTCCCGGTGGCGCCTCTGGCGCCGCTCCTGGCGCGCTCCGCGCGCCAGGGAGGGGTGTGTCCAGCGCAGATCCAAGAAATCCGCGCGGAGCGCCGAAAGCTTATGTCTACGGCGTGTTTCTTGTTTTTCTTCATCTTTTAGATCAATCCGTTCCAGAGTGATCCGGAACTCTCTCAAAGCCTTCAGGCACGCTCTGAGAAGGCCGCGGCGCCCGAAACGTCCTCCAGAGCCGCGGGATCTGAGAGGTTCTCGTTTTTTTCTCCTCATCCGATGTTGTCCTCGTCCTGGCTTCGTCTCATCTTGCCCCCGCCCCCATCCCCCTTGCGACGCAGCGGTTCCTCGCCCCGATCTCCGTGGCGGTGGCGGCCAACGCCGACGACTCCGACAGCGCGGCGCCTGACAGGGATAGTCGTTGTCGTCGTCGTTGTCGTGGTCTTTGTCGTCGTCGTCCGTTGTCCGTTGTCCGTCGTCCGTCGTCTCCCATCGTCGTCGTCGTGCGTCGTCGTGCGTCGTCGTCGTCGTCGTCGTCGTCGTCGTCGTCAGACGCTGCCAGGGCAGCGGAGTCATACTCTGACTCATTTTGACTGGCTGAAGTTTGTCGAGGGATTCTGGCTCAGTGAGTTGACACAGTGACAGGACTCATTTCGACTCCTCCGATTCGATAGGGTTCGATTTCGATGGCCTCCGATTCCGATTCGATTCGGCTTATTCCGATTTGGGCTCCGAGTTCTCAATCGTGGCCTACTAACCTGCCGATTCCCGCCGATTCTACGTTCTCCGACTCGGCTCCCGATTTCTGCTGATCCGATTCACTTCGATCGCCGATCCGATTTATCTATTCGACTCTAGGGGCGCCTGCCGTGGGAGTGAAGTCATGCTCTGACTCATTCTGATTGGCTGAAGGTCGTCGAGGGATTCTGGCTCAGTGAGTTGGCACAGGGACAGAGCTCATTGTGACTCCTCCGAGTCGTTCGGTTTCATTTCGATGACCTCCGATTCCGATTCGGTTCGGCTGCTTATTCCGATGTGGGCTCCGATTTCTCAATCGTGGCCTACTAACCTGCCGATTCCCGCCGATTCTACGTTTCCTGACTCGACTCCCGGTTTTTCGCCGATCCGATTCATTTCGATCGCCGATCCGATTTATCTATTCGATTCTGGGGTCGCCTGCCAGGGGAGTGGAGTCAGGCTGTGACTCATTTCGACTGGCTGAAGGTAGTCGATGTTCCTGGCTCAGTGAGTTGGCACAGTGAGCATCACAGTCTGAACATGTGCCCATACCATTGCCCGTCCCTCGTCACCAAGGCTGGATCCGCCTCGAAATCCGAAATCCTGGTCAGAACGCGCTCCAGGAGAGGTTTGTGGAGTGGCGGTATGGGTATCCTTCTGTTTCCCCAGAGCAAGGGAGGGAATGGCCGTTGAACATTTGTCTCCGACACCTCGCCATGTTAGCAACCCTGGTGTGAACTTACATGCAGTGCTGACGGCTTGGAGCTCTCATTCGGCCAGGATGAGGGCAAGAAGGAGGCGACGAGGCCAGTCGAGGAGGAGGGGATGCAGAACGCGTCGGGCCGAACATGTCCCAAATATCTTCCATCGTGCTGATTTCACGACGCGGGTTTGGTTGGTCTTCGGGTCATAGCCCTAGTCTTTGGCAGCCGTTAGTCAACGGACGGCGCAGATGGAACGGTCGAAGTCGACAAATCCTTCCGAATTCTTGGCGGGCCGCCCTGAGGTCATTCTCGGTCCCCCCTTCGGGGGGGGGCCCTCCAAAGTTTCGTTGGGTCCCTCTTTGAAGTTCTCTGGGGCCCCTCGTGCTTCTAAGGCAATTTTGGGCTCAAGGACAGCTGGACGCATTGGAAGTAAATTTGCGGCTCCAAGACCCCAGGATTTGTCCCAAGAGGCTCCAATCTTGTTTCAAGATGGCTTATGATGGCCCTCAGGCAGTCCCGGAGGGGCCGTATTGGTAAACACAGTCATTTAGGAATGTGTTTCCATTTAAACGCAAGTCTGGCCTTCTCGGCCTCGAGACCGTCCTGCAAAGCCCAAGAGGTACCTGAGATGGTTCCAAAGGCCCCATGACGTCCCTTTAGGTCCCGACGAGGCACCAAGATGGCCCCGTGACGTTCTCTGTGGCCTCCAGGAGGCTTTCGAGACGGCCCAGAAAACTACTCAGGCAATTCACCTGGCTCTGATCCGCACTGTAAGTTTTGGGTGTTGCGGATCTTCCCACCCGAAGCGGAGTTGGTGCCGATATCGCATCAGTTCGCCCGGCGCCAGCGTGCGCACGGCTGTGGCAGTTGTTTTTTGTTTGTCCTGTCTGAGAAGATGTTTTTTGCGGATCGGCGCGGGCCCCCTCCCCCCCCCATGGAATAGATATTGGTTGTTTTTGTAGCCTGTTTCGAGCAGTTGGAGTCTCCCCCAGAGGACGCACGGTTCCAAACAGCCGCATTAAGCAGAGGTCCAGTCCCAGAACCCCCCCCTTCCCCTCCCTTTCTGCCCAATGTCGAAACGCCGAATAGAAAAACGCTCACAAGGAAGTTTGTTCCATGGGATGACGCCATTCCGCCGACCCCCAGAAGGGTGAAGAAGTCCACTTGGTGAGGCCTTTTGGGGCCTCTTTGGGGATCTTCTTGAGGACCCTCTGGGGGCCTCTTTTGGGCTTCTTGGTGAGTGTGTCTTGGCATGTTGGGGGTTTGTTGTGCGCCTGCTGGCGGTCTCGGGGGTCCTCTTGGGGCGCAGGGCTCCGGCTGCCCGGTCGAGTTGCCTCTTGGGTCCCCGTTGGGGGCCTCTGGAGCCATCCTGTGCGCCTCTTGTGAGGGGGCTGTTTTTCCACCGGGGGAGGACCCCCCTCCTCCTCCTCCTCCTCCTCCTCCTCCTCCGCCTCCTCCTCCTCCTCCTCCCTCTCCTCATCCTCCTCCGTCTCCCCCTCCACCTCGTTTCCCCCTCCAACTTTCGGGTGGTGGTGGTGGGAAACTGGCCCATCATCTCGGGCTGCATTGGAGCGATCTTGGGGGCCTCTTGAGCCGCCTTGAACGTTGCGCGTAATGCTTAACGCGTGCGTTTGCCGTACCCGCCGGTCGTTGAAAGTTGGTGCTTCTGGATTCCCAGACTCCAATCTGGTTCAAGCGCCTTCCTGCGTCGAGAATCGACGTGCGTCTGCCGCGCTGAATTCCTCTCTGGGGTGGCCTGGGCCCAAATACACTGCATACGCCCTCCTGCTTCGTGCAGGCGGCCGCGCGGACTGGAGAGAGAAGGAGGGGAGAGGGGGCGAGGGGGAGGAGGAGGAGGAGAGGCAGCGGAGGAGCCCGCGGAGAGCGACCGGACACGACGGCATGGGGGCAAGAAGGGGGAGGGGGAGGGATAAAACAGGGCTATCAGAAGAGGGGAGGGGAGGAAGGGAGATATAAAGAAGGGGGGAGGGGGAGATATAAAGAAGGGGGGAGGGGGCAAAATCGCTCCAGAGCGTTCCGGAGCGCTCTCAGAGTGTTCCGGAACGCTCTGGAGCGGCCGCAGCGCCCAATACATCCTCCAAACCCGCCGATTCTCAGAGATTTCGAGTTATCCCGATCCGATTTTGTCCCGACCGTCGCGTCGTTTTAAGGGAGGGGAGGGATGGGCAAGGGCCCCCGAGCGCGGCAGAGGCACAGAAACGGCGCGTGCATGTGTTACCTAGAGCGCATGCGTTTACCGTAGCCCGTGGGTTGTTGAAAGTAGGCATGTTTTGGGGGATCCCCAGATTCCAGTCTCGTTTCTAAGCGCCTTCCTGCTTCGATGATCGACGGGCTTCGCCTCCTCCGTCCTCCTCAGGGGGCGGGCGGACACCCAAGCTGCTTTCAGCGCCTTCCTGCTTGGTGTTTCTGCCCACCTCTTCCGACCGACGCGCATGCTTAACGCATGCGTCTGCCGTTCGGATGGGCACGAGTTGTGTCTGCTTCCTCGGGCCGCATCCTGGAGCCCCCTTTTGTGGGGGCGCGGGCAGCTTCTGGGGTCCCGCCGTGTCGGAGGCCTCCTCCCCGGAGGAGGAGGAAGGAGAAAGAGGAGGAGGAAGAGGAGGAGGAGGAGGACAGGAGAAAGGAGGAGGAGGAAGAGGAGGAGGAGGAGGAGAAGATTAGGAGGAGGAGGAGGAGGAGGAGGAGGAGGAGGAGGAGGAGGAGGAGGCGCGCTGGAGCACTGCTTGAGCCAGCTTGCAGGGGGGCAGCTTGGGCATCCTGGATCGGCGGCGTGCGAGAGGGGGGACGGAGAAGGAGAAGGCCTCACTCCTCATCCTCCTCGTCCTCCTCCTTGTCCTCCTCCTCCCCCGCCTTCTCAGAAGGCTGAGAGGTCCCCCGGCCTTTCTGAGCAATTCCCGAAGCCTTCCCCGAAGGAGCAGGACATCGATCAGAAGGCCAGAGGGCTCTTGAGAAGCCCCGCCGCCGTCTGAGAAAGCCTTCTCCTTTTCACTTCACCCCTCGTTCGCCGCCCATGCAGGGCATCTTGAGTATCTTGGAGGCCACGAAGGGTCGATTTGGAAGCTCCTGAGGCCCCGGGGGTGCGTTGACGGAGAGGGGGACAGCCGAATGTCTCGCACGCCTGCTCACCCCCGGCAAGCAGGGGTGGGCGAATACGCCTTGTGTTTGGCAGATCTGATACATCCTCTGCGACGGCAGTGACTTCGCTCCAGACGCCACAGACGGCGAGTTGGAGCCACTTCTGGAGCGCGTCTTGTTTCTATGAGCGCCAGTTTCAGCCCAGGCTTTCCGTTCTTGAAAGCTAACACTCTCAATGCTTCTATTCCAGTCGAACGGCCGAAATAGGCAAGGAAAGCACAGTTCCAACATTTGCCAAATCCATCACAGAGCACGCCGATCCACTCTGGGAAAGCGGACGCTGGCGCATGCGTTCCCCCGAGGTGCGCCGAGAGGCGATCCGGTGCATCGCGTCGATGGCGCTGTCGAACATCGACTCGCCTGACGTGGGCCGACTCTGCGTGGACATGGTGCTCCGCAGTGGGAAAGTAGACGGGACCCTCGTAATTACCGCATGA